TCCAGTTTTACTGTTCTCTCTTCTCTCAAGTCATCCTGGGCTTTTTGGTATCTGGGTAAGGATTGTATTCCCTTCTGCCAATAGGATGTAAACTCCTTGAAGGAAGGGCCTGGTTTTTTCTTTTAATTTTATCTTGGAATTCCCATTGCCTAGTACAGCCTCTGACACATAGTTAGTCTTTAAGGACTGTTTGTTAAAGCGAATTGAGTTTGTATCAGTATTTAATGTGGTGAAAATTAACAGTAATAGATTGTCTTTGAGAGCATATTAATCAATCAATCAATCACTGAACATTGATTAAGTGCCAACTATATTCCAGACACTTTATGAGGCACCAAGAATTCAAAGAATAAATGAAAAGTTCTTTCACTCCAGAAGCTTGCATTCTCTCTCTTGAGACAATATGTACATATGTAGATATATGGAGAATAGACACCAGGTAAGTGCCATTTCACCTCAAAGTCCTACATGAATATTCATTATTATTATCATCATCATTTTGCCAGTGGTAGTCTGGGGGTGCTATGTCATTTTGCATGCTTTTCTTTGAATGGGGAGGATGATCCTTCTGGGCTGTTTAAAGACTCATGAGGTTCCAAGTGCCAGGTTTGGGTGAAAATATAATGGTGTGACTTGATAAGGAAGCTCTCCATAGCTGGACATTTAAGAAAAGTCTAGATAACCCCATGAGGCAGCTAAATGGCTCAGTGGACAGAAGGCTAGGCCTAAAGTCAGGAAGACCTGAGTTCAAATTCAGCCTGAGACACTCACTAGCTCTGTGATCTGGGGCAAGTCACTTAACCTCAGTTTGCCTTAATCCACTGGAGAAGGACATGCTCACCACTCTAGTATCTGTGCCCGGAAAACACTGTAATGGAGTCAGAAAGCAGCAAAAAGAGAAGCCCAGAGGAGATTATTCTACTAGGCAGGTTAAGTTAGATGCCGTCTGAGGTCCCTTCCAACGCTGCTAAGATACTCACACCTCATTAATGCCTTCAGTCCTTTGGCAAACAAGTACAAATAGACTTCTGAGTAGGGAGGTGGATCTACAATGGATAGAGGGCTGGGTCTGGAGTCAGGAAGACCTGAGTTCAAATCTAGCCTCAGATACTTGTTAACTGTGTGACCATGGGCAAGTCCTGCCTCAGTTTCCTTATCTGTAAAATGGAATCCACAGCTAAGGATTCTTACAGAAGTCAAATGAGATAACATTTATAAAGTGTTTCGGAAATGTCTCGGCAGCTGGGTGGCATAATGGATAGAGCACTGGACTTGGTGTCAGGAAGACATGAGTCCCTATCTGGCCTCAGACACTAGCTGTGTGACCCCAGGCACATGATTTAACCCATTTTGCCTCAATTTCCTCATCTATTAAGTGAGCTAGAGAAGGAAATGGCAAACCATTCTGGTATCTTGACCAAGAAAACCCCAGATGGAGTCATGGAGAATTAGACATGCCTGAAATGACTAAACAGCAAATTGGAGATTTCAGAGCATGATATAAATGCTAGTTACTACTACTCCTACTACTACTACTACCACCACCACCACTACCACTACTACTATTAATACTTACTACTACTACTACTACCACCACCACCACCACTACTATTAATACTACTATTACTACTTCTATTACTACCACCACCAGCACCACTACTACTATTAATACTACTGTTACTACTTCTATTACTACCACCACCACCACTCCTACTACAACTCCTACTACTTCTACTACCACTACTATTAATACTACTATTACTACTTCTATTACTACCACTACCACCACCACCACTCCTATTACAACTCCTACTACTTCTACTACTACTACCATTACTACTACTATTTCTACTACCACTACTATTAATACTACTATTACTATTACTACTTCTAATACTACCACCACCACCATTACTACTACTACTAATACCACTACTCCTACTCCTACTCCTACTCAGCTTTTCCTGACTCCAGGCACAATGCTCTATCCACTGTGCCATCTACCTGCCTCCAGGAGGGGAGTCATAGTTGTCTTCCAATAAGTAAAGGGCTGTTGATGTGGAAGGGACTTGGTCTCAAAGGACAGAAGCAGGAGCAATGGGTAAGTTGCATAACCTCTCTGGACCTCAGTTTCCTCACCTGTATAAAAGGGTTGCCTGGCAGAGTTGTTGTGAGGCTCAGATGAGATGAACAATAAAGCAAACTGCTTTGTATTCATTGCATACATTTTTAGTTTTGTACACTCGGGCAGGCTCCAAGGAAGTTGGCGTAGAGATAGATTTCCTCTTGTTTAAAAAAGAGAAAATAACAGAAAACAAACAAACAAGAACCTTTGTAACAATTAGGGTTGCTCAGTGTGAAATGGGCTGCCTGGGGAGATAGCAGGTTCCCCCCAAGCCCCTTGCTGGGGGTCTTCAAGCCCAGGCTGAACAGCTCCTCGTCAGCCCTGCTGTGGCGGGCACTTTGTTCAGGGTCAGGTTGAGCTAGATGGCCCTCAGACCCTCTCCACTCTGAGGCTTCAAGAGGCTTTCCTCCCTGGGATGTGCCTTGTGTTGGCCCTCCCCCACGTACTCACCAAACCTGCAGGTTCTGAATGTGGAGGAAGGTGGCGGGGACAAGAGTTTGGAGAAGAGATTGCAATCCTGGCCCTGGGCCCTCTCAGGAATATGTGCCAACCTGTTTGTTTTGTGTCAGGAGCTCAAAGAGTGATTTAAAAATGCCCACACTGACATCATAAATGCCACAAAAGGTCAGGCAGCATGGGGGGGGGGGCAGGGATGGTGGAGGGCCCCACAGCCAAGGCAGGATTGGTATATCATTAATTCCAAACTTGTAACTGGGAAAGTGTCAGCATGGAGGGAGCCTGTCCACACCGTGGTACCCCCCCACCTAAGACATCCTGAGGAAGTTCACAGGGGGTTGTTGTCACAGCTAGAGGAGGAGAAACTCCATTTCCCCAGCACTTGCTATTCTTGATTCATGAATGTGAGTCTATGATGTGTGTCTGTGTGTGTGTGTGTATTTATGTGTGTACATGTGTGTTTTAACCTGCCCTCAGAATGGGAAGGAATGGGGCATCTGGCCAGCATGGCAGCATTCCAGAATCTAGCTGCAGATGAAACAGAGAGGTCTTACCAGTGTCTATCACAAACCCACCTCACTTGTAAAGATCTTTGCCTCTGGTTGTCTTAAAGAGAAGCCCTGGCTCATCATCACCTGCCTGGCTTGGGAAGGAACTCCACTCATTTCCTCAAATGTTTACTGAGAGGTGGGATAATAACAGTGGAAAGACCTTTGGGTCTGGGGGACCTGGGTTTAAATCTTAGCTCTACTGCTTATTTGCTGGGTGACCTTGAGCAAGTCACTTAATCTCCTAAAACCTCAGTTTCCCCAACTGTAAAATGAGAGTTAGAATAGATGCCTGCAGATGTCCCCTCCAGCTCTAGATCTCACATCCTATGACCCCCAAGACCCCCTGCAGCTTTAAATTTGCTGCATTTTTCTCATGTAGGATGAGTTTCTGACTTTAAAAAATTAATTTCTATTTTTAAGTTAATTGAAATCTGTACCCTTATGTCAAATATGACTGCTTCAGTGCAAATCCCCAAACTTCTGTGGACTTGAGTTTCTCCATCAGCAGAATACAAGGGCAGTGGCTAAGTGGCCATCACCTTCTTTCCCAGCTATAGTTTAAGGATCCTTTTGATGACTTTTGTCAAATGCCTCTTCAGTTTTCTCTAAGCCAATAAACTTCAATTTCTTAATTATAAGAAACTAGGATAGATGTAGAGTTCAAAGGTACCTCGGAGAGCATCTAGTCCAATGCCTTCACTTTACAAAGGAAGAGACTAAGGCTCAAAGAATGACTTGCCCAAGGTCATGCATGATAGAGCTGGGATTGGAACCCAACTCCTCTAATTCCAAATCCAACAGGCTTTCCACCCTCTCTACCTGTGAGCTTTTTCCTACTTTCCTTCTCTAGAAAGACATCCCCTAACCAATGCTTTCTTATCTGCTCATCCTTTGGAACATCCAGACATCACGGATGTAGCTAATTCCCTTTGGGATCTCAGTGCAAAAAGGCAGAGACACCCACCCATCCTCAATTGATACCCATGTGGTAACTTTCCCACCAGCCATGACTGCAGGACAATTTCATACTATCTAAGCATCCCTCCTTCTCCACTCTCCAAAATGGGCAGCCACTCCCTATAGTGCTGAGCCTCAATAGAAACTACAGAACAGGATCTGACCTATCCAGAAAGGGACAGGGCTCCTTGGCAGCTGACGAGGTTAATAAAAATCACCAGGCAGCTATTAGAAAGGCTTAAAATCATTCACATTTTTATAGGTGCCTAAAAAGGCCGACCAGCACTTGTCTTTGCTCATAAAAAGAACATCTGTTAGCTCCTAAAAGACATGTGTTAGTGCGTGATGCCTGGGCTCCAAGTACATCATTTACCCCAAGTATTTTCTACACATGCCAAGGCTTTCTTCCACTATCCCCAGAATCATAACCACCTCCCATTTCCTATAATTTCTGACTTGTCAGATTCTATTCAGAGGATCATAGCGGTTAGGAACTTAGAGGTCATCTATTCCAAACTCCATTTACAGATGAGGAAACTAAGCCCCAGGAATAGTAAGCTACTTGCCCAGGTATCATAAATCACAGAGCTTGGAGTCAAACCCAGGTCCTCTGGATGTACAAGCTCTTCCCACTCTTCCACACAGACTTTCCTTCCAAGGATATTTTAAATCAAACATAGAATTATCACTCTAGAGCAAGAAGGAATCTCAGAGGCTGTCCAGGTTAAAGTCTTCATTTTACAGTTAAGGAAACTGAAGCCTTCATTGGTGAAATTATTTGCTCAAGGTCATCAAATTATCAAGCATCAGAGGTGGGATTTGCACTCAGGTCCTCTGATACCAGAGACAGCATTGTTTCCACTGTGTTACCCTGGCTCCTTATGGCTCAGTGCCCCTCAGTACGAGATTCTAGCCCACCTAGTCATCATCACTTATAAATAATATTGACTTCAGCAATTCCAGGTTTTGTCATTTTGTGGCTGTCAAGAATCTAATGGCATTGAAGAGATAGCCATTGGCAGTAAACACACACGTGCACGTTTTTGACAGCCATTAGTAAATGAGGAGAAGGTTTTGGTGATTGGTTTCATCTGCTCCTCAAGGTAAGGCTGGATGACAGGGCGGCAGGTATGTTACAGTGGAGAGTCTTTTCATGTAATGTTTGGAGTAGATGACTGTTGTCAACTCTCAGATGTCATGATTCTGTGAAAGAAAGAAGAATGGAGAGAAAAGATCAGGTCTGGTGCTTTGTTATCAGGGAAGAAAATGATTTCTTGCCTAGCCTAAGAACTCCATAAGTCATTCTTCATTTGATTTTATGAGTAGGGTGGCAGGCACAATCTTAAAGGAGACTTAGACATCTGGAGATTGGAAAACTCTAGACTGAAGAATGAAATGAAGAAAGAAATGTCCAGAATTTAATATTAATAATACATTTCATTTATAACATTTCAAGAAGTGTTTTTTCCTCAGATGAATATTGTTTTAACATGATAACTAAGCTTGGCCCCACAGTGGTGACAAAACGTGCTTCTTCTTTGCAGAGGTAGGGGACTGGGCATGTGGATCATTGGATATACTGTCAGCCTTGGTTGGTGTGTTGGTTAATTTTGTTGAATGACTTTTCTTTTTCTTTTTCTTTATCCTCTCTGTCTTTCCTTCTCCCCCTTCCCCTCTTCCCTCTCCCTCTCTCTTTCACTCCTTCTCACTCCTCCCTTCTTTCTCTCCTTCTCTCACTCCCTCTCTCTTTTGTTCTTCCTTTCCCTTCCTCTTCCTATTCCCTTCCGTCCTCCTCCTTCTTCCCCTTTTGCCTCTCCCTTTTCCTCTCTCCTCTTCCTCTTCCTCTATCTCTCCCTCCTAATTCTTCTCTCTTTCCCTCCCTCCCACTCTCCTCTCCTCATCCCCTTTTCTACCTTCCTGCCCCTTTCTCCTCTCTCTCTTTTCTCCTCTTTTCCTCCTCTCTCCTCTCTCAACCCCTATGGTTGTAGTTTATCTTTACCAAGTAACAAAAGAGAAGTGTTCCTTTTGTATTGTCACCCTCTTCTAATGGGGTCGAAGCTTGTGAATATGATTACACTTTACCTGAAGGAACCCATTAAGGGAGACAGGATGTTACTGAGTTTCAATGACATCAGCTGAGCAGGCAGGGATGTTATGAAGAGCATTGGATTGTGTCACGTCCTCTTGCCTGGGAAAGAAAATACGAATGTTTAAGGTTTCAAAAACCACTGGAGGGATTACTGCCTCGTCCTCCCTATCCCCCATCCAAGGCATCTAGTCCAAATAAATGAGCAGTTGCTCAGGTAGAAGAAGGTGAAGAAAACAGAGAGAAAACTTGGAATGGAGACGAGGTGGAAACAAATTCATTGACCAGTAAAGACAACAAAAGCAGAACTGACTGACCAGGTGGGTGAATTTGGCAGAGGCTGGGGATGTGAAGAGCTGGGCTATTATCAGTTTTATAGAGAGAGACCATCAGATTATAGATTTAGGGCTGGAAGGAACCTTAGGGATCATTTGAATCCAACTTTCATTTTATAGATGAGGAAACATGATATACGGTGACTTGCCCAGAACCTCACAGTTAGTGTCAGAGGTGGTATTTGAACTCAGGTTTTCCTGACTCCTCATCTAATATCCCATCCACTGTACCTCACCTTGGCACCCTCTCCATTTGGCCCTCCCAGAGCCCTAGCCTGGGATCCAGAAGCCTTGGCCAGACTGCCCAAGTTCTTTCTCAGTCTTAGTTTCTTCATCAGAAAAGTAGGGCAGCCGAGTACTTGTGCGTGCGCGCGCACACACACACACACACACACACACACACACACGTCCCCACTGGGATCCTTGTTTGACGGATGGTCCTCACCTTTCTTAAGTGGTGCGTAGTACCCCCAGTGCCCACCTCACCATCCCATCCAGTTTGTGCTCTTTCAAACTCAAACTCCGATTTCATTGGTTCATGGAGCTCCTGTCTAGGCACGTCCTTTATCCTTATCAGTAAGCACTTTCTCCACCACACAACCCATGGCCTTGGGGAACTGCCTGAGTCATTGTGGGGTGGAGAGACTCCTCTAGGCTCACACAGATACACTGTGGCAGAGGCAGGTTTGAACCCATGCCTTCCTGATTCGGTCCGTGGCTCCTTCCCCCAAACCAGCCTGTCTTCTCCAGAGCAGTGACAAGGATTAAAGGAGATAACATCCATTTCGGTTGTTGTTGCTGAGCCATTTCAGTCATGGCCAACTCTCTGTGACCCCATTTGGGGTTTTCCTGGCAGAGATACTTGAGTGGTTTGCCGTTTCCTTCTCCAGAAGGAAAGATGAAGAAACTGAGGCAAACAGGATTAAGTAACTTACCTAGGGTCACACAGCTAGTAAGTGTCTGAGGCAGGATTTGAATTCAGGTCTTCCTGATTCTAGGCCCAGCACTCTATCACCTGTGCCACCTACCGCCCTATAATGTGTATACTTTGCAAATATTGTTACCATCACCATTACAATCTAGTGGCTTTAGTCTCAGAGGACCTGAATTCGAATTCCATCTCTGGCCCTTACTATCTGTGTGACCTGGATAAGTCACTACCTCCATGGGCCTTGGACTCCATAGCCTCTGATTCCCTTTCCAGCTCTAAATATGATCCTGAGTCATTTCGCAGCTCTAGACCTGTTTCCCTATTTATGCCATAGGATGGAGAGGAGCTAGATGACCTTTAAGGTCCCATCTAGTCCTTTACCTGTGTCGTAAACAGAAGGACACAACTCATGCTTCCTCTCCAGAGGCAAGTGTCCTTGAGTTGCATTTTTACCTTGGTATATACAACATACACTTCCATTGCAGATTTCTCCTCTATGTCTTAAAAAAGAAAAAAAAAATCCCAATCAAGTATTCCCTTGGGCAAGCTTGAATCTTTCTAGCATTCATTCTTGTGCTAATGCCCCTCGCCTCTGTCTTCCATGAATGCCAGCTAATAGGACAGGTGAATAAGCAGGTGATGAATGCCCAGGAAAGCAAGCCCAAACCTGCCCATCACCTCAGCCACATTTAGCTTGAGCTCTGCAATAATGATGAGGCTCGGTGGACCAGGGGAGAAAAAAGCCCAGAGGACGGGCGCAGGGGTCACTTGGGTAACAAATGAAGTTTAGTCCAAAGCTTGATAGTTCAGTTTCCAGGGACCACAGAAGAATGATATTTAATAGATGGATTCCCATGCCTGAGGCCCTCATGCTAATCAGCTGTCCTCTCTCTTGACTATTTGCTTTTCTCTATTCCCTGTGATAGCTATCACAATAGCTGGCTAAGCTGTGTCAGCACCTCTAGCTCCCCAGCTTTGAGCTCAGGCCTGTTCTGCCCAGGCTGGTGTCAGTGGTAACCAGGGGGGTTTCTCAGGACCTGAGGCTACCTTTCCAATTAAGGAACTCAAATCAAGGTTTTCATAAGCAAATCTGACTGGAAAGGTAGTACAGGGCGGGATGCAACATTCTTGGTGGGGGTGGCACCTGTACAAAAGTAAGAATGACTCTAAGACCCCAGGGTCTCTTGGCTCCTGGACACAGACCTGAAAGATCTATCTGCACTAGGTCCTAGGGGACTAGAGGACTAGGGGAGAGGGCTTTGCTGACTGATTTTCAGTCTCAGAGTCTAATGGGACCCATAGCACAAAAGATGTTTGGGAAACTTAAGATCAGATCATGCTCTCATAGGTCTGGATTCATGTGGTATCTCAGATACTAGCTTTGTGACTGGACATGCCACTTCCCCTCTTTGGGCCTCAGTTTCCCCATCTGTAAAATGAACAGGTTAGACTAAATGACCTCTGAGGTCTCTTCCAGCTCTAAATCTATGATTCACTGATCTTGTGATCTAGGGATAGAAGGATCCCTAAATATTAAAAATTGTTTTTACGTGTAATTGGGGGGGTAAATGTTTTATTTTGTTTTGTTTTTTAAAAAGGACCCCGGAGATCACCATTTTACAGGTGAAGTAATTTGATTCAATTTATTCAAGGACCACTTTGGCATTTAAAGCTCTTCTCAATCTGGTCCCATTCTGCTTTTCAAGATTTATCCCACATGACCCCTTCACACACTCTAGAATTCAGCTACACTAGCATTCTTTCTCTTCCTCACACATAGAACCCTCCATCCATTTCTGATGTCAGCACACTCTGTCCCCATACCTAGAATGTAATCCCTCCCCATCTGGCCCTCTCTAAGTACCTGGCTCAGCCGAGTAGAACCTTCTAAATACAGCTTTTCCTGCCCGCTCCCCTCCCCCAAAGCCTTCCCTTCCGAGATTACTTTGTATCTGGCCTATTTGTATTTTGATTTAACTCTAGATATGCACATTTTCTCCTGATTAGAATGCAATCCCCCTGAGGAAAGGGATGATTTTTGCTTTTTGTCTTTGTATCCTCAGTCCTTAACATACTCTCTGATATATCCTAGGCCAGGGGTGGGGAACCTATGGCTTCCAGGCTACACGTGGTCCTCTACATACTCAAGCACGGCCTGTTGACTGAACCCAAACTTCACATGAGGCCACAGGTTCACTACCGCTGGTCTTTGCACTTAATAAATGTTTGTTGATGCTGTGGATACAATGATGAAAATAAAAATAGCTCCTGCCCTCAAAGAACTCACAATCTTTAGGGTATTGTTTGCAACCAGTCAATGCTGCCCATTCTGGCAACTCTTACCAATCGATCCATCAGCCAGCATTTGTTAAATCACCTACTAAGAGCCAGACAGTGGGCCAGGTGCTGGAATACAAAGACAAAATTGAGACAGCCCTTGCCCTGGAGACCCTTACATTCCATGTTGGGAATAGAACCAGTTCACAGATAAGTAAGTATAGGATATATGCAAAGTCAATACATACATGATGCTGGGCGAGGGGATGTTGGAACACTGACACCTAGAGAAATCGGGAAAGGTATTTTGGAGAAGGCTGTACTTGAGCTGAACCCTAAGAGTAGTTAGGGTTTCTAAGGATTGATTCAAAGATGGGGGGAGCTCTAGGCAAGGACCAGAGACTGTGTAAAGGACAGGGGTAAAAGAGAGAATGTCACATATTAGGCAAAACAAATAGGCCACTCGAGCTGGAGTATTGAATATGGGAGGGGGAGTAATGTTTAAATCAACTTAGAAAGACAAGCCAGAGCTAGATGGTATATTGGGTGCCAAATACAAGAGTTTCTATTTTATAAGGGCAGTGGGGAGCCATGGAGGCTTCTTAAGCAGGGTAGTGACATGGTCGGCAATAAAAATCTTCCAACCAACATGTGACTCTATATTAGGAATGCCCCCAAAAATAATAATAAGGATTATTTATCATAGTCCACACATGAACACTGCATTAAATGACCCCATTTGCTGTATCGACTACATATCTAATAACAAAAAAGAAACAACAAAATGTTGTCATTAAAAAAAAGGAATCTGTAAGCCAACAGCTCTGTGTAGCAAATTAACAGCTTCTTAGGAAAAAAAAAGTTCAATTGAGTAGAAACTCTGTTACTTTTCAGACAAAATTCCCTAGAGTCCCTCTTGTCTGGTTTCATTTCTACAACAAACCAGCTCTGTCAACCAAAGAGATAAATACAGTAACTGGACATGATGGAGATGGGCCTGTTTTTCTTCCCTCTCTCCCAGGGGGATGTGGATACAAGCTTGGGGCCTCTGCGCATCAGATTGCTAAGCTCTGTATGTCTAGGCTGAGACACCTTACTTCCAGTCAATCAGGTGGAAAGGTTTTTCCTTCCCAAGGTGTCTGTCGGATCTGTTTTCTCCACATCAAACAGATTCCAGGATGTAAAAGGATCTTGGCTACTGTAAAAGACTTGGGGCCATTGGGATATTATTACCTGATACCTAGTATAGTTCTGGAAGAGGCATCAAGGAGAACGAGTGGGATGCCGAGAGTGACATCTGAAGAGATACGGTGGACTTTGAAGAGCAATCCTTAGCATCTCCAGCTAAGGGAGACATGAGTTGGGTGAAAGGATGCTGGCCTTGGCTTCAGTGCTGGCTTCTTTGCTTATTAGCTTTGTAGGTCTGGGCAGGTCACTTCATGATAGAATCATAGTTATCATCAAGCAGTTGTTAAGAACCTACTATGTGCCAGGCACTGGGGATGCGAACGCAAGGTGTGAAACAATCGTTACTTGCAAGGAGCTTACATTTCATTGCGGGAGACACTGTAAGTGTAAGTATAGACCGAGTAAAGATAAAGGGAATAAATTCAGATAAAAATGAAGTTAAATTTCAAGTCAGATGGGAGGGATCACAGCACTAGTTGGGGAAATGAGGAAAGAGGCCATGGAAGAGGTAGTGGTGGAACTGCACCTTGGAAAAAGAGAGGCATTCTAGGGAAGGGACGTTTAAGGTCATCTGACCAACCCCCACACTCTGGAGGTTAGAAATGAAGACCCAGAGACAGAGACTTGGAAGTAACATGGCTGCCTGGAGGCAGTTGGGTGGTGCAGTGGGTAGAGAGCTTGCCCTGAAGGTAGGAAAACCTGCATTCCAGTTCTGCCTTTGACACTTCCTAGCTGTGTGACCCTGAGCAAGTCACTTACCTCAATCTGCCTCAGTTTCTTCATCTGTGCATTAGAGATAATAATAGCATCTATCTCCTAGGGTTGTTGTGAGAATCAAAACAGATAAGCTATATAAAGTGCTTTGCAAGCTGAAAGTGCTTTATAAATATTGTTGCCACTGCTTTTTAAAATTGGAACCTTGATCCTCTGACTCAATACCATTTGCAGTGAGTAGAGAGGGGCTTGTCCTGGAGTCAGGAAAATCTATATTTTGCCTCTGACATTTCCAAGCTCTGTAACCTTGGGCAAGTCATTTAATCTCATTCAGCCTCAGTTTCTTCATCTGTGCAAGGGATATCATAATAGCACATACCTCCCAGGATTGTTGTGAAGATCAGATAAGAAAACAGGTGAAGTGCTTTGCAAGCGATAGAACTCTTGCTGTCATGTTATTAGTAGTTGGACCCTCAACCCTCTGAATCGGTACTAACTTTGCCACACTGCCTCCTAAATTCAATTCAGTACACGTGCACTTAGCCTGCATTATGTGCCAGGTACTATAGTGACAAAAAAGAAAGACAATCCTTGTCCTCAAACGTCTTATTAAAGTGTTGGATTTGAAGTAGGAGGCTCTGTTTCATGTTTGGCAGTAACTCTGTGTCTTTGGGGAATTCACTGGACTTCTCTGGAGACATCAGCATCTCATCTGTAAAGAGAAGGGGGAGGCTGGATCCCAGAATCCCAGAGTATGAGTTGTAATGGACGTCAACAGTCATATGGTATGACTCGTAAGTGAAAGGAATCCCCATTATGACGTACCTGGCGAGTGGTCATTCAACCTTTGCTTGAAGACCTCCAAGAAGACAGAGACTATCCCTGCTCCAGGCTGCAAATTCCCCTTTAGGAATGTTCAACTTGGTAGGAACTTTGCTTTTGTTTTTATTTTAGTTGTTTTTTTATTTGTGTGTCTCTGACATCGTGTCTGATTTTTGTCTAATTGCAACTTCTACCCATTGCTTCTGGATCTATGCTCTGGGGATAAACAAAACAAAAAGAACCCTCATCCACATTGTAGCCTTCAAATACTTGACACCTGTCATATTTGCTCCGAGACTTCTCCCTTCCATCCTCACATGAACTCTGAGTATCCTTTCAGCTCAAAATCTATGAAACTGTGAGCTCTGTGCCTCAGTTTACCCACCTGGAAAATTAAGATAATATTATGCTTCAAATCTCGCAGGATTGCTATTGGGAAAGAAGGGCTTTGATGCACCACAAATGTTGTTATAATTGTTGCTATGAGTGTTAATGTTCCAGTAGAAAAAAATAGTGCTAATATGTTTTTACAATGGTTTAAGGTTTGCAAAGAGCTTCGTATATATTTTCTGATATTAATGAGGAAGCTAACTGAATATTGTTTCTGATTCTACGATTTGTTCCTGAAATATCATTAAAAAAAACCCAGAAGAATAGAAGAATCACAACAGGACCAGATGGAATTAGTAGTACAAGCAGATGCAAATGAAATGATAGAGGAGACCTACAGTGAAAAGATAACACTGGGTATTGTATAAATAGCCCCAAGCCCTCTGCCGGACCCCTGACTAATGTTGACTTACCGAGTAGTGAAGGTGGGACCAGTCCCCGCACTCCCCCACCTCATCCTCAGGTGGTAATTAAAGGATTGTTCTGGAAAGAATGAACAATTTGGAGTCAGACAACCTGGGTTTGAATCCCATCTGTGCTGCTTAAAACCTGGGTGACCTTGGGCAATCACTTTGCTTTCCTGTATCTCAGTTTCCTGACCTATCAAATGAGATGGTTGTTCTAGATGCCTCTGAGGTCCTTTCTAGCTCTAAGTCTGTTGTCTTAAAGGCCAGGTTTGGGTACACGGCATTGAGAGGGCCACTAGGATGTTTGAAGCCAGAATCCAAGCCTTTTGTGCTGCTGAGCCTGCTTTCATGAGTCACGGTTTGCTTTCTATCCAGGTTCATTTCAGAACATAGCATAGCCCCTGTAACTTGTGGCTCCTCAGATCTGGGTCAATTGATATTCTTTCAATAGCAATCCTGACCCACCCCCACACGTGCTGCTGCCTGCCACCATTCCTTCATTAATAGTGGTATCCTTCTCCTCTTTGAAATCGTTAACTCCCTGAGAATGGGCACCCTGTCACATCCCTCCACTGTATTCCCCCACAGTCCCGAGCATATCATAGGTAGGTGCTCAGACAACATTTGGTGATTTAATTGCATAATGCACCAATAAATTTTGGTGGATGGATCACTGGGCCTGGATTAGGAAGACCTGAGTTCAAATGTGGCTTCCCACACTAACTGGCTGTGTGACCCTGGGAAAGTCACTTAATCCTGTTTGCCTCAATTCCTCATCTGTTAAAAAAAAATTTTTTTTAATGAGCTGGAGAAGGAAATGGCAACCACTCCAGTATCTTTGCCAAAAAATTGGACCACAATGAGTCAGCCATGACTGAAATGACTGAACAAAAAAAAAATTACTACTATCACTACCACTATTATTATTATTTGTTTGTTGTGATTCAATAGTTTCAGTCATGTCCAAATCGCTGGGAATCCATTTGGAGTTTTCTTTGGCAAAGATACCAGATTATCTACACACAGAAGAGTCCTTAGTCAGTAGTGTGCCTTCTTGTCTCCAACTTTTAAGGGAAAAAAGCTTATGTTTTTTTTAAATGCCACAGTCATATTTCACTCTCTATCACTGGATTCATCAATACAATTTAATAAGCAATTATTAAGTGGGCGCTATGTGCTAGGCGTTATGGTAGGTGTGAGGGCTATGAAGACACAAGTTAAGCAGTTCTTGTTATCAAGGTGCACGTGTTCTTTTGCGAATGGAAAGAAGCCTTCCTGCTAACAACAATGTAGCAGAACTTACTGACCAAGCAGTTACAGCCCACAGAGTATGTACAGTTCGACATTCATAATCCCCTGCCTGTCTATGAAGAAAAGGGAAATGTGTTTAAGATCCTGTTCTCCAGAATCAGTGTTGGTCATTAAATTTAATTTGAGATGAATTGTCTTTAAGTGGGTACATGAAAATAAACATCATAGTCACTGTACGTTCTACAGACCTAACTTCCTAGCCTTGACTCAAACACGTCCCCTCCCCACAGTCTAGGTTCCATCTAAAATGGACCAGCCCATGTTCCCCTAGCTCATCTTGTCTTCTTCTTCCTCTCTAGTACTGGCCTCCACCTGAGGTCTGAGATGGATCTGGGGCGTCCACGTTCTATTGCATCTCTTTTTTTCCCTTCATTTTTTTCATAATCCTCCATACCTCACTTTTGTAGGTTTTCTATCCCACCACAGCTATTTGAAATAATAATAATAATAATAATAAATAATCCCGTTTCTGTCATTTACTACTTTTGTAATCTGGTACAGTCCATGTAATCTCTCCAGAGCTCAGTTTCTTCGTCTGAAAAAAAAATTAAAGAATTGAACCCGATGGCTCTGAGGTCCCTTTCAGCTCTTGGCATCTATGTAGAAGTAGGAGGATCAGATTTCCCATTTGGCACTAGCTGTGTCTGCTTGGAGAATTCACTGCACGTCATCAGCCTCTCATCTATAAAGTGAAGGGGAAGGCTAGATCCCAGAATCCCAGAGTGTGAAAGTTGTAATGGACATCAACAGCCATAAGTTAAAAAAAATGCTCATTATAAGGAGGACAAGAACCCTGCTTTTTTAACCTTTGTACCCCCATTTCCTAGCAGAATGCCCTGGGCAGAGTTTCCAACCATGAGTTGACACGTATTTGGGGGGAGGGGTTCTAGATTGAAGGTTCTTCACCTTTTTTTTGGTGTCATGAATCCCTGTGGCAGTCTGTGAAGCCTAGGGACCCCTTCTTAGAATTATGTTTTTAAGTAATTAAACAAAATGACAAATTTCTGTTAAATGTCAATGAAAGCAAAGATTTTTTTTCTGTATTGACATCCCCGGTCAGGTAGATAGATTTATCTGTTAGAATGTGTTTATCTATGCTTTGGTCTTGAATTAAGTCTTCTCTGTCAGGAATCTGTAGTGCAGCTAGCTGAATCCTAAGATCTAAAACTGAAAGCAATCTCAGACTCCACCTAGGATCTGAGATCTGGGGGAGGGGGGCAACCTTAAAGGCCATCCAGTCTAGCCCTCTCATGGTACAGGTAAGAAAACTGCCCAGAGGATAGAACCAAAAGCCTTGAGTCACTGAAGGGTTTGTGTTAGGGATATCTTCCTAAGAGTCATAACTATCCAAAAAGTAGGACGGGACCTTAAAAGGTTGGGGGCCAGCACCTCATTGGAGGGTGGAGAGCAGAGGTTGGCTGGTATCTTGTTGGCTACCTCCATAGTAAGTATTATTTTCAGGTATAGATTAGAGTAAATAGTCACTAAGGAGCCTTGCAGTTCTCAAATTCTGTCATTCTATGAGATCAAAAGAGGATATTATGATCTCAAATCTAGAGCTGCAGGAGACCTCAAGTTCACCCCACAATTGATTTTACAGGTGAGGGAAAAGGCTTGGGGATGGGAGGTGATGAGAGAGATAGACACAGAGAGAGAGAGAGAGAGAGAGAGAGAGAGAGAGAGAGAGAGAGAGAGATGCATACGCAAATTGGAGAATTGGAGATAGTCCAGAGAAGAGCTGTGGTGATTAGGATTCAGGAATAGACAACAGAAGAAACATTAAAGGAGCTAACTGTCTGTAGCTCAGCAGTTAAGAAGAGATGGTTCAGTGCATAGGGAGGGATGTTTCATGCGTGTATGTGTTTTTAAATGGGCTCTGAGCTTGCATGTATTTGAATGGCCTAGAGGAAGAATATTTTTGCCTGGCAGTATAACAAATATAACTTGAAGGAGAGGGAATTGACATTGACTGAAGGAAAAGTGAATATGTTCGCTGACTGTGGAAGAGAAACAAACTCATTAGTTAAAATTAAAGTGTGGCTTATGAATGGTCTTCCACCTGTTGGGGGGAAGGGAAAGGAATATAAATTTCTATAGTTCCTACTATGTGCCAAGAGCCATGTTAACTGCTTTACAAATATTATCTCAATGGATCCTCTTAACAACCATTTGATTTTCACAACAGCTATGTTATTAGGTCCTATTATTATCCCCATTTTACAGATGAGGAGATTGAGGCAGACAGAGGTTAAGTGGCTTGCCTAAAGTCACACAGCTAGCAAGTGTTGAACTCAAGTCTTCCTGACTCCAGGCCCTCTGTACCACCTAGTTGCCTCTGTTCATGAGCAATTAATGAGCTATTAGTTAGCACTTTGGATGAGGGTTCTGAAAGATTGTATAACTTCACAAAAAGGATTCCTTCTCACTATCCTACACCCCAGCCTTATTTCTAAGATGCTGCGATTTTGTGTTTTGCTAAATGACAGATAGACTTGGTTCAGAGAAGGCAAGATGAAAATATAGTACACATTTAGAGAAGATTTAGGGAGAAGAGAGAATGTTGCAGGGTTTTTTTTTTCCTTTAAGGGATAGTGAGATCCTCTCTAGAAAAAGAATGAAAACTGATTTATAACTCAAGATCTGTAACCAACTAGTGACAGATCTGTTACCCCATGCGTCCCAGCTCCCATGTCCTTCAGCCTGCCCCCTTCCCCAGGCCTGTGTAGGTGGCCTGCTCTCTTTCCCTCCCCCCCCCTCATTAGAGGTAACAGCGCCCCCTTCTGGCTCAAGGCTTTAAAGAATTGATATTCACCAAAAAAGATAAGAGCTCTGTTCTCCACAAAGTAGATATTTTCCATAACTCTGCTGCAGAAGCCACATTTGCATCCTTGCCTTTCCAGGAAAAGAAACTTGATCACTCATGGAAAGGAACTGGTGTCTAGGACCAGGTCATCTTCAGAGAATGGCTCTGCCTAGGCTGGAGGCAGCCTCATACATTCCGAGAGGTAAACAGCGATACCTCACCATGTTTTATTTGGCATGGCTCATTCCTTCGTCCTCTGGGAAGTTATTTTCATAGCTTGATCATTTTATCAAAGGTTTTACTACCACAAGAATCCAATGCATCATTACTCCATCCAATTCCATGATGGTGAGGGAAATTTTGATTTTCCTCAGGAGTTGCGGCCAGTTTCTACCTGAGTAACCTTGGGCAGGTCACTTTAAATATTCATATTTGAATTACCCTGGCTACCTGTTCGACCTTGGTATACATTCTTCTCTCATCACACACTCTATACTCCAGTCAAACTCACCTTTCTTCTTCCTCACACATGACACTCCATTACCCACCTCGGTACTTTTGCAGAGACTCATGCCTGGCATGAACTCCTTCCTCAATCCAGCCTCTTATAATTCCTAGGTTAAAAGCTCAGATTTGTGCCACCTCCTACATGATATGGTATTGCCTTCTTCCCTCCCCCATTACATTGCATTTACTTTGTGTATATTTTATGCTGATTTATATGTGCACACATTGTTTCCCTCAATAGAATGTAAGCTTATAGAGGGCAAGACTGTCTTACTCTTGTTTTTGTAAAGCCCTGAACTAGGACCACATGTCCCAGGGATCCAGAGACAAAATAGTCTCTACCTAAAAGGAATTTATGTTCTATTGGGTAGGTACATGTGTATAGATATGTAAATAAGAGGTAAGATGAAAAGTAAGAGAGCAAAACTAGAGGTGAGGGTGGGTAGAGATCAGAA